AGGATAAGAAGCCGGGTGTGCCCTGGCAGGAAGGAATGATGTATCAAATAACAAAAACACAGAAAAAAATATTCCTGGCATCTCAAAGGTCAAGCATCGCAAAACCATCGCATGAAAACATTTCTGGCATTTCCAAGGCCGTCCGTCAGAACTCCGAAAGGTTTTATCTTAAAACCATCAGTCACCAGCCTGAATTTCAGGGCGGCGCCGGCCAGTTCTCACACCAGCCGGGCGCCGGCCGTGGGTTTCTCTCCCCAGGGCCCTTCGATGTGCGTAAGATGCAGAGATCTGCTCCCTGACAGTCAGGTCCAGGACGGTGCACCGCCTGGGCCGGCTGAGTGCAAATCCCAGGGCGGCTGATTTAAATCCTGACCCCTCAGGCCACACCGGCGTCCAGCCAGAATGCAGGAGCCGGGGCAGGGGGGGCCCGCAGCCCGAGGAGAGAAAGCCTGCATTTCCCGCCACTTCTCTGAGCACAGCCCGAAGGGTCCTCCGCTTTGCATCTTACGGTCCAGGACCAGCGGACACAGGAACCATGCTGATGCCACACACCTGAATGCCAAGCCTGCGTGACCCCCGCCCGTTTACCGGGGAAGGAAGCAGGGAGAACCACGCTCACGGAAAGGGGATTTCAAAGAGAAGTCAGGCACATCCCGCTGCCCTGTCCTGATCCACCCGTGAACCGGGTTCTGGCTAAGCGGGTCTGTTTGCGCTGCAGGCACTAGGGAGTCACCATTCTCTCCCCAGATTCTTCCCAAGCACGAAGAGTCGGAAAGTTGGACACCAGCTGCCCTGGTTCTCAGGGTCACGTCACCGCCAGTGTCATGTTGTCCCTCCTGCCAGTGGCCGTAGGGGACCTCTGCCTCGTCCCCGGGGAGGGGGCAGCCCGGAGGCTGGCAGTGCCTCCTGGGAGAGTCAGTGCAGGCGTCCCGGACAGCCGAGTAACTGGGCTCAGTGGGACCTCCCAAACCTGACTGCGTTTAGTGTCTCATAGTGGAGCCTTGGGTGCAGATAACGGATTCAGTGATCTGGGAATCACTGGTTTGGCTGAAGCACCAAAGAAAGGGGACAGAAATACCAGGATCTTAACACTGATACCATCAACCTGCCATCTGCACACTTAAATCTAACTCCTCCTGTGGTCAGGAGCCGTGCGTGTCAACACATATTCAGTTGGCATCCTCAGGTACCAGGAGCATCTTAAAACGTGTGATCGCTCAACAGATGACTAGATAAAGAAGAGGTGGTATATTTATACAATGGAATACTACTCAGCCATGAAAATGACAACATAACGCCATTTGCAGGCAACATGGATGGAACTGGAGTATGTCATTCTAAGTGAAGTAAGCCAGAAAAAGAAAGAAAAATACAATATGAGATCACTCAGACGTGGAATCTAAAAAAAAAAGACGGATGATTGCAGCTGTAGGCTGCCCTCCACCAGCTCATGGTCCCCCAGGGCAGCCTGAGAGCAGCACACGGAAACACAGAAAGGGGATGGCAAAACCCCGAGCACAGTGAGAAACAGGAGGGGCTCTCCAAGGACTGGAAAGGACTCTGGACTTAGGCTGAGCTCGGGAACTTTCGGGAAATGGTCAGGGAGTGGCGACATGAAGAAGCAGTTGGAGGTGCCAAGAGCCAGGGTGGGCAGGATGCTGTTCCCGGCAGGGACGGTCATTCCGAGGGCTTGGAGGTGGGAAGGGCTGGGGATGTGGGAAGCGTTTTGGGAAACTGGCGTGTGGGGAGCCCAAGGCGGGCGGCTTGAAGTGATCCAGGGGGTACCCACAGAGCCTGGGTTATGGGGACCCCGGGCATGCAGACGGTGAGGATTCTGGTGCTCAAACTGAAGGCGGCTGACCATCATATCCAAAGGAGGAATCCCACAGTCACGAGCAACACAAGGAGGAATGCCACGGGGGTCTGGAAAGAACCAGGGGCAGAGAGCTCTCCAGGGGCAGGGAGGCCGGAAGGAAGGTCGGAGCCCGCTCCGAGCAGGCGGAGGTGAAGGCAGGTAAGAGAGGGCAGGCCACCGGGCAAGGACTCTGGGTCAGGAC